TCATGGCTTGCTCCAATGTTAATGATATTCAAAACGAATTAGCTGGGTGACGTTGTATATGGTGTTGGCATTGTTGTATGGAGAAAAAAAAAGGCCAAATATATTTTCACTTGTGTTTATTTATATATGCGTTTGTGCTTTCAAGGAAATATAGAGTTTGCAAAAAACTTTGTTAGATAAGATTCAGACGGATTGATAAGCTGTAAAAAAACTAGTTCTCAAATGCAACTTCTTTCACATTTTTTTCTGATTCATAGGTTTCTGTTGCAGCACAGTCTTTGCGTTCTTTGAATAAACTCTTTAAGCCAAAAAAGAATTTGAATACTTATACAATTATGGTACTTGCCATAAGGTATTTTATATCTGTACCAGTTGTTGTACAAAGATTGAAATTGTTTGTTCGCAGTTTTATACAGCGTTTATTTCTAAAAACAGGTTTTTTCCCTCTTATTATAGAACTTTTCTTTACAGATGTGAATGTTTTAAGAACGACAATTTTATTTGAGTAAACAACAGCGGTGTTTTACCAATGCAGAAAACTGTAAATTGTGCAGATTGTCCTGCTCACTTTATTGATGATCAGCAACTGCAGGAAGAACGGCAGAAGAAAGCAGAAGACAGCGGCGATGGTGGAAATTTTTCGTGGTGGTGGTGTCGTGACTGCTTGAAAACTGTGTGCAGGTTTCATTTTTTTCTTGATGACGAATTTGCTGTTTAATCATCTGGGAGAAGAGAGTATGGAAGGTTTTGGGCTTTAGAGGAAGAGTAAACACAGTTTTACAAGTTGAAACGATTGTTCTAAACTGTTTTCCACTTCTGAACGTAATTTCTTCCCGTTGTTTTTCGATTTTGCCATTACTCGCTATTAGTAGCTGTAATCACAAAATTTATTTGCTCCTTGACAGAATTATTGCTTTCATTAGTTGTATTACAATTTAATCTTTTTTATCTTTCTCAAAAGCATATCCTTAGTACTGCAGGGAAATTCTGCGCAAAATAATTATTTACGTAGTTTTTGAAGACCTACTAGGATGTTTACATGCTTTTCAGTTGTTCGTTTTAACTCAGTTAAATATCAGTAATAAAGTTTAAAGCATGTAAACTAAAGTCAGTTTTTTGAGTATGGAGCTCTGTGAGATAAGGAAATGTGCCTTAAGGTTTTAACGATTATTATATTTAAGCTGTAGAGGAAATCATATAAATATTTTTATACATGCAGTGATAAATGTTTTCTGTATAGAAGAACAAACTCTATTCTAATTTATTTTTTTGCTTTTTCGGGCTTTTTAACCGTAATTAATTTATGTTCTTTCTTTTTAAATTCAGTTTTTTTCCATTTCGGGATGCAATTGAAATTTGTCAGTGATTGAAAAAGATTATTTTTAATAAGCTGAGGATGTCTAAAGGTCAAGAACAGTTCAAAAAGCGTTTTTTAAAATTTCTGTTTTGGATTTTGAAATAAAGAAGATAATAATGTACGGCAGGTTGCATGTGAGGTAAATAGCATCTAAATCTTTTGTATTTCCTTCGGTTCTAGCTTTGCTTTGGTGGGATAGTTACTGGTGTCAGTGTGACATAGCAGGAGAGCTATACAAGTGTCTGATTTTTCAAAGCTATTTTTTGAAATATTTAGTAGTTTAATTCCATTTTCTAGAGAAATTTTTTGTAGCCGTTTCTCGCAATCTTTTCCTTTTGACTTTTAGACTGGGTTACATCACTGTATCCTTTAATTTGTTGATTTAGCAGAAGTAAATGTAGTCCCGTTTTGTTCCCGAGGTGAATTTGTAGTAAATTTTGTCAATTTTAGACGGTTATTGACGTTTCGCTTGTGTTTTACATTATTTTGCAAGCTTATTTTCGAAGACCATTTTGGGATATTATGATTTTCTACCTCATCATAGAACTTTATTTTTCTTTTTACAACGTAGAGAAATGAAGGAACTGTCTTAGCTTTCTTCCTCGCGTAAAAGTAATTTGGTATTTATATAGAGCTTTCTTACATGTCACGTTTCTTCTAAATCTTTAACATTATTCATTTTTTTGATTTAACAAGGCTGTGCATTTACTCGTTTACTGTCACCCTAATAAACTTTTGATCGTTGATAGGATTTGTGTCACCCACTACTTACTTCTAGCAAGTTTTGGGAGCCCGTCTTCTTTTCCAGAGTTTTTTGGTAATTTTTTTCACAATTAGTTTGATTATTTTGTAGTAGCTAATCTACAAAGTTGAAAGCCATCAAAATATTTACAAAGATTGGCCATCATTAAACACTGTTATTTTGGAATTATTCAATTTTTTTAATTGTATAACATACAGTCCAGTAAATAAGGTTGAAAAGCAGAAAGCCGCTGGGTGCAATCCACCTTGCGTAAAAGTCGATTCGAGCTGGCCAGTACGTCGGTTTTATAAAATACTTACGTAACCAATCAGGGATTAATGATCGGGTTTGTCTGAGCTCAGGTTGAAGCTAAATAAGGAAAATATTAAAATTGAAACTTATTATTACTTATAGTTTCATACTTAAGGATAATTAAGAGTCTATTTTTGTTGTTTTTTGAGCAGAAATGAAAGGTTTTAAATTTTTTGGTTAAACTAACGGATACTTTAGTGAGAACTGTGGGTCTTTCAAAGGTCTAATTTTCCAAAACTTTTTTTCAGTTATTATTGCCTCGCACTCTAATTATCACGAAACGTTTTTGCAATAAAAGCTTGCTTTACAGGATTTTATGAGTTATTTATGTAGATTATGTGAACAAATAAAGTAATGATTTATAATCTACAGTCCACTGGCAGACTTTATTAGTTGTATTGAATAAGGAAATAATTTGAGGTTTTAATGCATTACTGGTTTATGTTTAGAAAAACTGTGTGAAAGTCAGGTTTTTTCTGCTTGTCATAGCAGTTTTCCAGAGACATTTTTCTGCTAATAGCATTAGTCTTATTCGCTACTATGATGTGACTGTCTTCTCTTTCATTTTTTTCTATGATTTTTTGTGCCTATTGTTTTTCTTCTCTTGGAAAAGTTACGTTTGAAGTTTTGTTCCTGTTGTTTGTTATCTTTTAACAGAATTACATACCAAGTGACACGTGCAGGGCGGCTGGAATGTTTCTATTTCCTCGATTAAATCAGTTTTTGGTCTTCTTTTTCTTGACTTCTTCACGGGTGAGGCACTTGGTAATTGTTGCAAGCAACTGTCTTTGTAAGAAACAAACGCATATTCTAATAGCGCCCCGAATACGAAGGCTTGACAAGCTGAAAAATTTTGGAACATTTCTTGCTTTTTCTGTTTATAAAGATTTCAGGTCAAAGTATTATTAGCAGATAATATATCTTTTTACTTTGCAGTTGCCAACATTTTTTGCCTCAAATTTTACGAGGTATTTCAGTTATGTTACGGTAATCTATGAATGCGGTCACTTTTTTTCAAGTGTGGACATCTTTCAAAGAGACTTTTGTTGTTGTAAAGTCGTAAAAGTGACAAAAATATTGTATTTTTGGGTGGCTCATCTGTGAAATGAATTGATTGTTCTTAAGAGTAGTTGTAAAGTAGAATGCTCTTCAGAAATTCCTTGTTCCTCTTAATTCTTGTTTTTAACTCTAAGATTGTTTTACTGTATTGCGCTGGTGTGTGCAAATGGCGGCTGTCAGTGAATGAATTCATTTTGTCATCTTTTCTCAGACTGAAATCTTCAGAAGTGAGTGGATAATATTCTTCTAAATTTGTGGTTTTTTGTTTTTTGTTTTCGTCATTCTAACTACTTCAACAATTCTTAGTTTTGCATTGTTACTAAACGGTTAATGGTCTCTTTTTTTTTTTTTTTTTTTTT